GGAGGATGGACTGAGGTTGAGGGAGGATGGACTGAGGTTGAGGGAGGATGGACTGAGGTTGAGGGAGGATGGACTGAGGTTGAGGGAGGATGGACTGAGGTTGAGGGAGGATGGACTGAGGTTGAGGGAGGATGGACTGAGGTTGAGGGAGGATGGACTGAGGTTGAGGGAGGATGGACTGAGGGTGAGGGAGGATGGACTGAGGTTGAGGGAGGATGGACTGAGGTTGAGGGAGGATGGACTGAGGTTGAGGGAGGATGGACTGAGGTTGAGGGAGGATGGTCTGAGGTTGAGGGAGGATGGACTGAGGTTGAGGGAGGATGGACTGAGGTTGAGGGAGGATAGACTGAGGTTAAGGGAGGATGGACTAGGTTAAGGGAGGATGGACTGAGGTTAAGGGAGGATGGACTGAGGTTGAGGGAGGATAGACTGAGGTTGAGGGAGGATAGACTGAGGTTGAGGGAGAATGGACTGAGGTTGAGGGACGATGGACTGAGGTTGAAGGACGATGGACTGAGGTTGAGGGAGGATGGACTGACGTTTAGGGAGGATGGACTAAGGAGGTTCCCTTTACTTGGGGCCAACAGGAAATTTTCAGTTGTTTTATCTCTCTCCTCCTCCATCAGCGTAGCAAAGATTAGGATCTCAGTAACAGAAGTTCCAGGCAGTTTTCATGTGAGCCCCGTCTAAGCTGTCATCTAGCCCCCATGAAGACCCCTCTTCCTGAAATCTGATGCATTCCTTTACAGGGGGAAAGCCTACCTCTGATGACTCCAGGTAAGAACTTGGCTGTATTTCTGGAAGTAATGTAAACATCCATAGGACAGAGAATGTAAATCAAATCTCGAATCTTATTACCTTGTTATCACCAAGACCATAATTTCTACACATGTTGCTGAGATGGGTTGCACTCAGTTGATGCTGTCCCTCTCTTGGGATGCCGCAAGCCAATTCCCAGAACCTCCACCTTAGCTACGGGGAGCTAAGCCTCCTTCTCATATCAAGTAGTAACTGATTTTCATTTATTCAATCACTTTCCTTGTACTGCTGTGAGCTTGGTTGTCTAAATGACCACTTTGGCAGTTACCAGGGAAACGAGTTCCCTTTGGAAGTTCTTATTCTCATTAATAAAAGAATTTAGAAAAGACCTAAGAAGAAGGCTCAATACAAATTTTACTAGAATTTAATTAAAAAATAGACAAGTTAGATGAAAATTCTGGTGATACTAATGAAGAAAGATGAAGAAAAAGTCATGCCTTTGAAGTCATGAGGCATAGGATAGAAATAGTTTATTTAAAAAAGGAAGCATCGCTCTCAGGAATGGAACTGGACTAGCCAGTCAGCCCAAAGTCAGCCATCCATGTGGTCCATGATATTTATAGCATCCCCTCCCTCCGGTTTGTAAGTCCTTGCCTTCATTTCACACATGATCTCTTTGTTAGATGACGCAAGGTGTGGAAAGGCTTCCCATCTTCCTCCACAAACTGGCTTCCTTCTTGTTAATCATGAATGTACTTTTTAGTTCCTGTTCTCATATCACATAGACTTTGAATCCACCCGTGTCTTGAGATGACATAGCTTAATTAGCCTAGACATCTTTAGGCATGCCCTACCTAATCAACATCTGCTGCAATGACAGCCAGGAGCGTGGAGCACATACCTCACACACCTAGAGGAGGAGCTCTGCCAAGGAGTAGGATCTGTGAAGAGACTGCCACCATGCCACCATCTTGTATCCTGAAGGCTCGATTTAAAAGTCACCCCACAACTCACAGACTGCCATCGAGCCTCCCATAGTGGCTGCGTCCAAACCATGAAAGTTCCTTGGGGTCTTTGTTTCTATGAGATTGGTGTCTCTGAAAGGGACCTCAGGCCTGTTTTAAATCCTGGCTCTTTCCCTTTTCTAGTTTAGTGGAGATGGTAAGCCACTTCGCTTTATAGAACAGTCATTGCTTAAACATATAAAATAGGAGCAAAACAGAACTAAATACTTCTAAGTATTGTTAGCATGGTGCCTCTTACATACTGTGGGGGTTTAACCTAGAAATAATGTTGGTTGAAAACTTCTTAGGAGGGATCACTATTCCATTCGTCTCATGGGGAAACATCAGTGCTTCTATATATTCCAGGAGTCCTTCATATTCAGAACCCCAGGAGCCCACCTATTACAACGTACCAGCCTGTATAGAACTGCAGCCAGTGTACAGCAATGGTGAGGACAAGAGCCCTCTGGTCTCTGGTTTGGCAGAAATCGCAAGATACATATTGGAGCAGGGTCAAGAAGACAATAAAGCCTGGAGGGTTATGATCCTTCTAGAGAACAAACCAGCCAGGGGAGGGGTAGCTGAGAAGAGAAGGAAGCACCTTATCCTTCTCTGAAATTTCACCTTCTTCCTAAGTAGACCCTAAAGAAAACGTGATTTACACAGAAGTACGGGGAACTCAACCAAGACGGAAACATGCAGGTAATAATGAGGGGTGGGGGGAACCTCTCTATTCCTCGCTATTGCTCAGCCATCACTTCTCAGGCAGGTCTGGGCCAGCCAGGCACAGAGCCTCTCTTCACTAGGATGCTTGGATTCTTTAAATTGCACCCATATTGTTTGGAGTTAATCCAAAGCCACCACGCAGTGCTGCTAGCTTCTCCATTGTCTATGGGTGAACTCACGATAACCCAAGTTACAAAACCATGGCAGAGTCTCCTCCAAGCATCTGTGTCAGCACCTCTAAGGTAGAATAGGGCTGTCATCCCTACTTCCCTAGTTTGGACGGCTAAAACAGGGGTAGGCAGTAGGTGGGAAAACATAGAGCCCTGACATAACAAACATTTTCTTTACAGTTCAGGAGTCTGAAAGTCCAAGATCAAGATGCCAGATGGCTGAGAAAAACTAGGACATGTCTCCTCCAAGGTATGATTGTGGAGAAGGTTTATTGAATACATAAGGGAGTGAACAGCCAGAGGGATCTGGAAGAGTCCAGACTGAATATGGCCAACAGACTGAACTGGGCCATTTGGTGGTGGGGCAAGTGGACCGAGAGAGATACAGAACAGAGCAAGCCAGGGGGATTGGTGGCCAGTCTCTGCTTTAATATGTTAAGTGGGCACCTTAGTTAGCCATTTGTCCTGAGTTTCTTTAAGACTTAACATTCCAGCCTTTTTGCTAATGATAAGGGATGATGTAATCTCTTCTATAACTACTTTCTGCTGAAATTAGGGTGTCATCAGGGCCCAAGAAGACTGGAATGTTGATGAAAGCCAGGAAGGAAGAGAGGAGGGCAGGCTGGGGAAGATCTGTTTCACTTGCTGCCCAGGTTCTGAGGAACAACCTGCGGCTAGGGAAGTGGAGGCTGCGTTGGAGCAGTCTGGCATGTAGATTCCAAGGAACACCTGGGGCTGGCACATTGCAGGCAGTATTGCAGCAGTCTGCAGCTATTTGGAACCTGCTGGGACAGATATAGATGGACAGGAGACACTTTTTATTTTAGGTGTGTACTTGAAACTTCCAGGCCCACGGTCCTGGTAGTTGGGGTGGGGAGCAGGACCAAAACCAGGGGCAGGCAGTAGGTGAGAAATCTTAGGTTGCTGACTGACAGGAGTGATTGTCTGGAGTCCATTTGACCTGTGACAGGTGGGTACAAGTCATGACTTCCTGAAGCTTACAGGAAATGTTTTAAGTTTACAAAATGATAAGTGTTTCAGACATATTAGCATTACCACTGTTTGCAATCGGTACTAAAATCCACATTGTAGAAAAAAGCAGTGGCCTCATCCCTTTGAGTCAGAGTAAAAGCTTGGGAACCTCAAGGTATGATTCTGAGTTAAAAGCATTAACACTGTTCCTCTATATCCCGAGGCCTGGATATGTAGATTGGATAGAGATGTGTTCAGCATGATTGAGAAGGTTGTTAAGCCTATGCTTAGAAGAAAATTTTGAGCTTGTGACTATAATAGCAGCAGTGTTTTATCAGGGCTAGATTAATAGCTTGTCAGAACTCCATTGATTAATGTTAAAACTGTGAACTTTAGAAGTCTTTATATAACAATAGCATAGAGAATGAAAAAAATCAGAGACACTTGTCATTACTTTAATTACTGTCTTATACCTTTACAACTTGCACTTACACACCTTAAATTACTTTCTTAGACCTTCACAACTCAAGATTTCATGTCACCACAACTTGCATTTACAAACTTTCCTACAAATTAGTTTCTTAGGCCTTTACAACTTATATAAACATTGAACTTTTTCTTTTCAGCTAATCATTTACCATGAGACACAAATGGTTGATTATTGAGAGCAGTCATTGCAAAGCAAGTTCCTTTAAATAAAGGAACTGTAAAGTTAATACTGTAAGTTAAAGTTACAGTATTAACTGTAAGTTAATACTTTACAGTTAGTTAACTGTAAAGTTAAAACCTGTTGTATTTCTCTATCAGTGTGGTAAACTGTGACTGTGCCTCTGAGCCAGAGACCTAGTAGCTCTAGAAAAGTGAGTTCTTACATATAAAGTGAATTGAAGTGGCAGCTGCAGCCGGGCGGTGGTGGTGCATGCCTTTAATCCCAGCACTTGGGAGGCAGAGGCAGGTGGATTTCTGAGTTCGAGGCCAGCCTGGTCTACAGAGTGAGTTCCAGGACAGCCAGGGCTACACAGAGAAACCCTGTCTCGAAAAAAGAAAAAAAAAGAAAGAAAGGAAGGAAGGAAGGAAGGAAGGAAGGAAGGAAGGAAGGAAGAAAGAAAGGAAGAAGGAAATGGCAGCTGGAGCCTTGGGGAGAGGAACTGGGTGCCTGCCACTGTTAACATAAAGCTACAGTTAGCTATCAATATCATCAGAGATCTGAAAAGGATAAATTATAGCAGAAAGTACAATCCAAATGTATGTATCAAGTAAAATGGCAGAGAATGACCGCCATCTGGACGGTTGTCCTAGGTTCCTGGTCTCCGTGGCTTCACTGAGGGCAGAGGTAGCTCGTCTTTGGTTGTCGCACAGGACAGACAGACAGCATTATATCAGTCACTGTTACACAGGACAGTGTTGGCCTTTGGCTGCCAGACCCAGAAAGAGCTGTGGAGGAACTTGGGAAAATTGGTAAGGCAGAGTAGAGCAGTCAACTCAACAGTGTCCATAATTTGTGCAGAGCACTGGTGGTAGGTAAGGCATGGGCAGTTTCAACCAGTGGTTAGTGATACACCAAGCCAGGTGAAGTAGTCTGTATCCCATCGTCTTCTTTCGAGATCTTAGGGTTGCCTCTAGGAGCTTGCAGTTCTGTCTGTCGTGGAAATATTTTTCAATTAAATATTTTAAATGCCGCATTCAGCAGATCCCTGTAGAAGTTTAAGTGTTGATTCTTCTTCCAAGCCCCATGCTCCCCAAAATAGGACTCAGATTTAAAATATATTTACAGCTACCCTGACCACACAGTTAGGTCTGTAGCTAGATCTACTCTGAGTAAATCATAACTAAAATAACCAATTATTTTCGTCTACATTCTACCACGTGGCTGGTTACCTGTGCTCAGGTGCTACAAGTCTGTCTCCATACCTCTTCCTGGGCAGCAATCCCTGAGCCTGGCTCTATCCCAGAATTCTCTCTCCTCCTGGATATCTTATTTCCTGCCTAAGCTATAGCCATCAGATTTATTATTGACAGGTGCCATATCCATACAGACAAAAGATATCCTCTCTACAGATCTCTGAAGATATGTACAGATATCTATAGATCTCTGAAGAGTCTGAGGACCCTTATCTGTTGTGTATTCATGAGTTAAACAAAATTTACTTGTTTCTTATTTTTAATTACCAGTCTTAGGCTTAACCTTAAAAACATATATGAAATACTAAATAAAGCTTGTCCCTGTAAATGAATTACATTTGTATTTACCATGGCTTATGTGTGTAGTTTTAGTACATAAAATAATGTGATCATTTATAAGGTGGCTGAGCATTAACTTGCATGTCTTAGTTATCATTAACAGTTTACAAGTTAGTAGCTGGAAAACATCAGGATTTCACAACTGTCTCTGCTAAGTTTGAGCCTTAAAACTTTGTGTTGAAGATTTGATTGAAGAGTCTTTAGCATCAAAATAAAACTTTAAGCTGTAAGTGTATTACATAGAGGGACTGAAAACTTTACAAAACCATAAATACAGTTGATATAGAGGCCAGAAACCTTTTTGTTTGTTTGTCTTATCCTTTCATAGTGCACCACTGCAGAATATCGGTTTCTCATAAGATGCTGTTTATCCAAGTAACTAAACTTAGAAAAGTCAGTAAAGACACAGAGGCTAGACATCTGTTACAGTTAAACTGTATAGACCTTAGGAATGTATAAACCTTATTTATTGAGCATGTGTTGTTTATTATTTAAATGTTCTAGAAGCCTGATGTTGAGCAAAGTTAGCAAAGACGTGAGTGGTTAAACACACATCCCTAAAACAGTTTCTTCACCTGAGTAGACTTTATAACCTTAGGAATGAACTCCTTATCACATAAAGATTCGTCCGAATCTGAATATTTACAGGCCCTGCTGTTGCCTCTTTTGTTTGAAAGGGAGATACAATGAGGCCTCAGTAGGACTGAGAAGTTGTATAATTGTTGCTTTATACCACATGGTCACCTTAACCAAGATGGTGGAGAAATTACATTGCATGAACTCTTTTTTAACCGTGGTAAAGATGGGCTGCTAGACATGTGGTTGAGATTTCAAACCATCTGTTTTCTAGTAAATCTATTTCTTAAAGAAGAGTTGAATATAAGCTACATATACAGAATATTCTGAACAAGACTTGAGTCGCAAATATAGAATGTTGTATTAAGATAACCTAGGTATAATTTTTTTTAATTATAAGCCCTTCTGTTACAAGTGTTAAGCTAAATTTTGTTACAGATTTTTAACCATATCCAATGAACTTACAAACCCTGAGATAGTTTACAGCAAAAGGTTTTTTTTTTTTTAGAGAAATTGTAGAGATAAGGGTGTTTATGAGTGGAAAGTAGAAAAACCTTAGAGATAAGAGACTTTTTGAAGTGTAGAGCAAAGAAAGTTTAGATATAAGAGATTTGGAGATTTTTGTTTGTTTGATGTGCAGTGGTATAAGCTGTTACCACAGGAGAGAATTTAAAATCAAGCATGCCATACTGATTGAGCAGTACTGAGGCCAAGCCATTTATAGAAAAACAGCAAGGCTTTAATAAAATCCTTGAGTCTGAAGAACAGAAGAGAAAGGGTCATATGAGGCCCAGGAGGGCTTAAGGAAGCTGCAGAACTTCCAGGAGGGACTTGAGAGATAAGGGACAGGATCTCAGAAGCCTAGGAAGGCTTACAGAAGAAGATGCAGGACTGCAGCTCCTAGAGGAAGGTGAGGAAGCTCTGGGAAGGAGCTGGGAGCAGGTAGCTCCCAAGAAGAAGAGGCAAAGAAAGGGTCACAGGCCCAAGAGGGCTTAAGGAAGCCGCAGGACAGCAGCTTCTAGAGAGAGGCAAAGGAACTCCAGAAAAGAGCTGAGAACAAACGGAGCAGAGGACGTTTATGAATTTCAATTCTGTGCATCCCCGAGTAAACTGAGAGACTCCTTCCCGAGAAACGTCCCAAATCACAGAGATGAGAGATGCGGCATTTTTCCCCATGGGAATAGAGGCCAGTAGGGCAAGAGGAGCAGCCTGGCACACTGCTGTGGCTTCTGTGATAATAGTAGACAAAGCTGGCAACTCCAGGGTGACACTTATCCAGTTGAGGAGGACTGGAGAAAGCAGCTGAAAAGGCAGACTGAGACAGGCTTTTGGGGAAAGGGAGAGGGTAAGTGTATTTAGTAGAGAGATGTCTATGTGTGTGTAACTGACCAAAGAGACAAAACGATATGCCCAGGTAGGGTGTAGTAGGTGCCAGGAGCCAGACAGACACTGAGTAGATGA